AAAGACCTCATTTTTCAATAATAAGTAAAACAAGTCCCAGCCAAAACCAAATCAAAACAAGCAAAACAAAGTGACAGGCAAACACTTGAACAGATACTATATGAAAGCTATGTAATCATCCAGAAGCACATGAAAAGATGCTCAACATCATCTACCTGTTAAGAGAAGGCAAACTGAAGGCTTGACAATGAGAACATTTTCATACACACTAGGATGACTAAAATTTTAAAATTTGAAATACCAAATATTGGCTAGGGTATGGAAAAACTGGAATTCTCATACATTATTGGTAACAATGTCAAATCGTAAAACCACCTCGAAAAAGGTTAGCATTTTCTTACAAAGTTAAATAAACACCTATGCTAGATTAAACATTTTCAGTACTACATATATATGCAATAGAAATTAAAACATATGCTCTAGAGTGATTGGTCCTTGAAACTTTTATTTTCTATAATATTCCGACACTAGCAACAACCCATATGTCCATCAACCAGTGAATGGATGAAAACTCATACATTGATACAATAGAATTCTACCATGGATACATGCAACAACATGTAAGAAGCACACTGATATTATGTTACACAAAATGAGTCAAATACCAAAGAGTACAGGTTGCAAGACTCCTGTATAAGAACTTCTATAATAATAATAGTAATAATCTATAGTGATAGGAAGAATGTCTCAGTAAAAGGGCCATGAGGATAGTTTCTGAGCTGTTGGAAATTATCTATCCCATGATGAGGGCAATGATTACATTGGTATGTACATTTATCAAAATTCATCCAATTGTATGCTTAAGATCTGTGCATTTTTATCTGTAACTTTCATGTAAGTAAAAAGTAATATAAAAATATTAAACTCTTGTTAGTATGTATATTAGTTTCCTATTGCTGCTGTAACAAATTACTACAAACTTAGCAGCTTAAAACAACAATAATGTATTCTCTTACACTGCTGGAAGTAAGGAGTCCAAAATCAGTCTCACTGGGCTAAATTCACGGGTTCATCAGGGCTGGTTCCCTCTGGAGACGCTAAGGAATAATCTGTTTCCTTGACTTGTTTTTGGTTCTAGTGATCCGTTATATTCCTTGACTATTGGCCTCTTTCTCCATCTTCAAAGCACATCATTCTAATCTCTGCTTCTGTCATCACATAGCCTTCTCCTCTGCCTCTGATTCCTGTGTCACTTTTACAAGGATTATTTTGATTACATTGGGTCAACCCCAATAATCCAGCATAATCTCCCCATTTTAAGACCCTCATAATCACATCTGCAAAATCTCATTTGCTATATCAGGTAACATTCACAGGTTCTCAGGCGAGGGTGTAGACACACATGGAAGCCATTACTCTGACTAGTATATTAGGTTTGCTTTTTGCCGTGATATGTGTTAGCAATTCTGAGATAACACTGTGTGTATTCTAGCCCTGAGAAAATTAGTAAATGTGTTAAGATAATGGGATAAACATTTCTCCCTGTTGGAGAAGTAAATTAAAGATATCAAAAGGGAGGAAGACAAGACTGAATCTTGTATTATTATATTAGAATTTGAGGTATCAGTATAAACTCTATATTTATATCTATATAGAAATGGTCATATATATATATGCACACATAATCAAACATTTATCTATTTGTGTGTATGTGTTTATATATATGTTCTAAATATATGTATTTATATGTTCTAAATATAGAAATGGTTATATATACATGAATATAAACACATCTATACATATACATGTGTGTCTATATATCTATACATACATTCATGTATATGTCTACATATATACATGTGTGTATGTATATATATGTGTATATATATATTCATTATTTAAATACTTATTTTCTTATATTATCACCTGACAGTAGTACTCCGGCAGCAATGAGCACACCTAGCACTCAGATTTTGGCTTCTAAATGTCATTCACACACACATACACAAAACACAACCCTTTAGAGAAGTGGTGGATCTCAGGTCTTGGGTAGGGACGGTAAAAGGTAAGTTTGAAAAACCTTGTATGCCAGAAATTAAGGAATTGCTAAAAAAATTATTGGAATATGTCCAAAGGATATATAAACTAGATCTAAGGTGCTCCCAATGACAAATTCAGAGACAATTTGACCATCGAATTAATTAATAAATATGACAATGAATTAATAGAATCATTGTGTCCATACAGATTTAAATAAATAAATAAAACTATTTATATATTAAACTAAGCTCTTATTTTGAACAGAATATAAATTAATTAATGTAGAAAATGTGATAGATTTAGAAAATAATTAATGTTTACTAAAACTACTGGGTGAAAATTTAATGTGAAACAGATATTTAGATAGCTTGAAAAGATCTCACCAATAATAACTTATTAAATACAAAAGGGAAAACTAGTAAATTTATAGTGGAGAAACCTGATGGAAATCATATTAACCAAGTGATGAAAGTTCAGGAGAACAAAAAACCATGTGTGTGTGTGTGAGTCTGTGTGTGTGTGTGTGTGTGTGTGTGTGTGTACATTTATTTACCTTCTCTATTCTTGCAAGCTTTTTTGAGCATAAAAATATGTAAAGTAAAATAATTTTAAAAATCATATGCAGCACATCATATTCACTCTCCCACTTGTTCATGGATTTGCATAGTTGTAAGCTCTATATATCCTACCACTATCACATAACATGAACGGCAATGCCAGCATGGTGAAGCTGGAACAACTGAAGTAGGAGAAAAATTGAGCCTTAATTACTTATTTGAGTCAATGACTTAGCAAATTTTGTAATCATGCAACTCTGAATTTCCTATATGATGCAACATATTCTTCTTGTGTTTAAACCTATTTTAATTGTGTTTTCACTTATTGCTGCTGAATCCATCAAAATGAAACAAAATTGTCCCACTTCCTATACAAGCCAAATCTTTTCACCATTATAACAAACCAATTTAATCACTACATGTTGAAAAATTCTCTAGGAGAAAATCTTTTGTGTTTCAATATTCTTCTGATTAATGGATTTCAATCTTGTTAAATTATTAACTCTTAACAAGTAGTTTTCTCAATGGCATTAATATATTATCTAAATTATCTTACACAGCAAATTTTGCATCTAACTAATTGTATGAATAGTTACTATGCAAGCAATGCCACTTTCTTACCCAAAATTCATATCTGAGTTTATTAAGCTTGTGATACTCTTGTGAGGATCAAGCAAGGTTCAGACACAATTACTGTACTATTGAATATTGCTCATGTTGTTCTTTACCAAATCAAAACAAAAAAAATGAGATGCAATGCCTTTTATAGCTTTTGTTCATAAGTAACTAATTTTGAATTCATAGACTAACTACATATATTGTATTTTAAACTGGTAAAATTTCTATAAAGCCTACATTATATCATTACTGACGTATTAGATTTGAATTTGGTTTTTGAGTCAATTACCATTCTATTTAAATGTATCCCCAAGCCTCTCTCTTCATCTCCAGAATTCAAATACACAAAGAAAATATCACTGAACTCATAGAACAGTTGGATGTGCATGATATAGTAATGTGTTTTGTAAATAACTGCATTATTATTAGTCAATTATTATGGTAGCTATCATTATTAATCAATATTTCTTTTATTTGAGATTATAAACAAGTGTATTATCTGATAAATTCACTTTGATTACCCCTATTTCCTCTTTGGTTCATTTGTCCTCGTGTGTAACAATTAAAACCAAATGATCACAAGGAGTGATGTCAGCATCATGGTGGAGTTAATTGTACCCTTTGTCCCTCCCCTCTAAGTTACAACTAAATGGACATCCACTAACCAACAGAGGAGTCTCTACACAACAGGACACCTGAGAGATCCTGGCAGCCATACATCTGAAAGTGGGTGGACTGGACCCTTGGGAAGCAGTAGAACTAAGGGAGTGGACCCTTCCTCCTCCCCAGTGGCAGCAATCCAGGTCACAGATCCTTACACAATGGCCGGTATGACTGTGGGTGGAGGCAGGGGTAGCTAGGCATGCAAGCCAATGCTTTCACAGTGGTAGCCCAGCCTCTGGGTGCACCCACCTACTGTGGTGGCCCTGTCCATGCAAATGCTCCTCACCAGTGGCAGTGGCTCAGCCCATGTGAAGGCACCCTGCCCTCAGAGCACACCAGCCCAGCCAGACCTACCCACTGAGTACAGTGGCCCCACCTGTGTGAGCATGATTTGCCCACTGAGAAAAGCAGCCCTGTGCATGTGAGCATGACCTGCCCAGAGCTGTGGCCAGCTCGCTTGAATGTAGAGTGGCCCAGCCTGCACAACTACCAGCAGACGGTGGGGGGTGGGGACAGAAAACACAGCTCCTGTTCCCACCTAGCGATGGCAGGTAGAATCTGCAACCAGATACTAACACAAATGCACCAGCAGAGGGTCAATTCATCAAACACCATGAAGAACTATAGTAACTCTGCAGAACAGAAAGAAAATGAAAACTCTCCAGAAACCAAACCTGAAGCCACAGATTACAATCTAAATGACAAAGAACTCAAAATAGCTATCATAAACTCAACAAGTTACAAGAAAATACAGAAAGGCAGTTCAATGAGCTCAGGAATAAAATTAATGAATAGAAGGAATACTTCACCAAAGAGACAAAAGCCCTTAAAAAACTATACAAAAAGTCTGGATATGAAGAACACAATTAATGACATAAAAAATGATGGAGAAAGAATAAAAAATAGAGCAGACCTTATGGAGGAGAGAAAGAGTGACCTAGAAGATAAAAAAATCTAGAAATTCTTCAGATGGAGGAGGAGAGAGACCTAAGATTTTTAAAAAATGAAGAAATTCATAGAGAAATACCTGAATCAATTAGGAAAAGTAACATAAGGATTGCAGGTATCTCAGAGAGAGAAAAAAAGGTAGAAAGGAACAGACAACTTGTTCAAAGAAATAATAGCTGAGAATTTCTCAAACCTGGGGAAGGAACTGGACATATAAGTACATGAAGCCAATAGAATTCCTAATTACATCAATTCAAAAAGACCTCCCCAAGGCATATAATATTAAAACTGTCAAAAATCAATGACAAAGAAAAAATATTAAGGGCAGCAAGGTAGAAGAAAATAACCTACAAAGGAACCCCTATCAGGCTGTCAGCAGATTTCTCATCAGAAACCTTATAGGATAGGAGAAAATGGAATGAGATATTCAAAATACTGAAAGAAAAAAGCTATCAGCCAAGAATACTCTATCCAGCAAAATTATCCTTCAGATATAACAGAAAATAAAAGCTTTCCCAGATAAACAAAAGCTGAGGGAATTCATTGCCACTAGACCTGCCTTACAAGAAATGATGAATGGAGCCCTTCCACCTGAAACAAAAAGACAAAGGTCTACAAAGCTTTGAGCAAGAAGAAAAATAGATAGACAAAATCAGAAAATTGCAGCTCTTTACCAGAATAGGTTAGCAAACAATTATAATATAAAAGATAAAGGGAAAGAAAGCATCAAAAATAGCTATAAACACTTTAATTTAGTCACAAACACAACACAAAAAAGAATAATTTGTTGTCACAAATTATGACAACAATAACACAAAAGGGTAAGAGGAAAAGGATAGAATCTGCTTGGACTAATGGAGATAAGAGGCTATCAGAAAATGGAGTATCTCATCTATGAGATCTTTTATGCAAACTTCTTGGTAACCACTAAACAAAAAACTAGAGCAGAGTCACAAAACATAGATAAAGAGACAACTGAGAAAATCATCACAGAAAACCACCAAACTTAAATGGCAGTTATAAATACAAAGGAAAGGAAATGATAGAAATATAGAACAGCTGGAAAACAAGAGACAAAATGGAAATATTAAGTCTTCATATATCAATAATCATTCTAAATGTAAATGGATTGAATTTTCCAATCAAAAGACAGAGTGGAAGTGTTGGTGTCAAGATGGCAGCATAGGTAGACTCTGAATGCACCTCCTCCCATGGACACAACAAATCCAAAGCTACTCTTGGAACAAGTACCCCTGAGAGAGAACTGAAAACTGGACAAAAAGAACTCCCACAACAAGGCACAGTCCTGACTGAGGTGGAAGAGGCAGATATTCTCCTCTGGAGAGAAACAAAGCCACCTTCACAAGATGCAGGGCTCCATGGCCACCTGGGAGCAATTCGAAGTTTATTATATATGAACCTCATTGTAATCACAAACCAGAAACCTATAATAAATACGTAAAAAACTAAGAGAAAGGAACCCAAATATAATACTAAAGAAAGCCATCAAGCCACAAGGGAAGAAAGCAAGAGAAGAAGAAAGGAACATAGAAGAACTACTAAAATACCCAGAAAAAAAGTAAAAAAATGGCAATGAGTACATACTTATCAATAGCTACTTTAAATGTCAATGGACTAAATACTCCAATCAAAAGGCATAGGATGGATGATTGGATAAAAAACACAAGACCTATATATATGTTGCATACAAGAGACAAACTTCTGACCCAAAGACACTCACAAACTGAAAGTGAAAGGATGGAAAAAATATTGCATGCAAATGATAATGAAAAGAAAGCTGGGGTAGCAATATTTATATCAGACAAAATAGACTTTAAAACAAAAACTATAACAAAAGACAAAGAAGAGCACTATATAATGATAAAGAGAACAATCCAACAAGAGGATATAACACTAGTAAATATCTATGAACCCAATGTAGGAGCACCTAAATATATAAAGCAATTATTAACAGACATGAAAGGAGAAATAGTAAC